AGGTTTTTTTGTTGTTGTTGTTTTGTTTTTGTTTTTAAGATTTCAGGTCAGACTTTCCTCATTGACAAGGCTCCCTCCTGACTTCGGAGGGGGAATTATGGCCACCTCTTCCTGGTTTTATGTAGTTACATCTAGTTTTGTTTGTTTCAAGCAATTTCAAAATATGATTTATATACATAAAATTCACCAATCTAAATTGTATCCTTCAATTTTTTTTTTTTTTTTTTTTAGTAAATTAGAGAATTGCACAACCATCCCAACTTATGCCACTGAGCACTTAGTGGCAGAAATCTTGTCATTCATTTTTGTAACCTTAGCACCTTTCATATAATACCAGACACAGGAGGCCCTCAATAAATGTTTGTTGAATAAGTAAATGTTTGTATGCATGAATTAGTGACTCCATTAGAAGGACAAGCCTGAAAAATTAACTTGCTTCCATGAAGTTGTTTCTGAAGATGAGCTATAATCAAAGTAGGAATTTCCAGGTGTTTTATTTTATGTTTATATACATTACTCAGCAATATGAAGAATACGGTTTCTAATTTATTGCCTTGTGAACAGCTAACCAATTACTTCAAAGATTTCACAACTATTTCTGATTGTTATTTTTCAAAGAATTTAACTGGGAATGGTGGCCTGTGCCTGTAATCCCAGCAACTCAGGAGACTGAGACAGAAGGATCACAAGTTTGAAGCCAGCCTGGGCAACTTAAACCTTGTCTCAAAAAACAAAAAGGAGCATCACACTTCACAATACCTAAACTGTGGAACCAGCCTACATGTCCATCAGCAGATAAACTGATGAATAAAATGTGGTATATATACACAATGAAATTTTATTCAGCCATAAAGAAAAATGAAATTATGTCATTTGCAGGAAAATAGATGAAACTAGAGACCATTATGTTAATCGAAATAAGCCAAACTCAGAAGGTCAAGAATTGTATGTTTTCTCTCATATGTTGTAGCTAGAGAGGGAAATGGAAAAGAAACATGGGTCAAGGTGGGGATCTCATGAAAATCAAAGGGAGAACAATAGAGGAAAGGAACTAGAAGATGAGAGGCAAAGAGGGAGGAGATAAGTGCTATGGAGTGATATTTGCCAAATTATATTTTTATATGAATGTATAAATATGTAACAACAAATCCTATCAGTATGTACAACCATAATGCACCAATAAAAAAATGTAGAAAGAGAAAAAACAAAACAAAAATTTGAATTTCAGATAAACAACAAATAATTTTGTAGTATATGTCCCAAATATTACATGTGACATACTAAAAAGTTAGTTGTTGTTTGGATGAAATTTAAATTAACTGAGTCCCACCTTTTTGTTTGCTTAATCTGTGCATCATACATTGGACATCAAGAAGAAGGGCACTAACCCTGACAAATGCCAGCCACTCCGGGACTCCCCAGAGAAAGTGATGTGATGATCCCTTTTCAGAAAAGTGATCTGATGACAATGGGAGATGGCATGTTGCTGGCAGTGAGAGAAATGAATAAAATATTTCATACTTGTTTTCAGGACCTGTCCCTTAAAGTCTTGGAATTCTCCAATTTCTTGATCTGGTTTTAAGATCAAAGACAGGCCTTACAGTTCTCTTTGGTAGGGCATATGTACTCTTTTAGATTAACATTCTGGAGCAATTTCTTCAGAGAGGGATATATCAGAAAGTATAGAAAAATGTTATTAGGCTGATATAGTTTTTCTTCAGTTTTCATTGATTGTTAGATTTAAATAAGTCACTCCTTCTTTTAACTATTAATTAACTATTAATACTATATTCCACATATTGATGAATGTTTCCCAAGTTCTAACTTCTGTTCTAAACATTTCACACAAGATACTTAAGGCCTATTGGTTATCTGTGTTTTATGAAGGAGGAAATTGAGAATCAGAGAAGATGACAAACTCTCCCAGGGTCACATCACTAATAAATGAGAGAAACAAGCTGCAACCCAAACCTTCTTACTACAGAGTTTTCAGAATAAAAATCTTAAAAAATAAAGAGTACTCATGATGTGGCTCAGTCATAAAGAGCCCCTGGGTTCAATCCCCAGTTACACACGCACACAAACACATACACACACATACATTCAAAGAATTTGAATCTACCCTTATAACTTTCTTCCTTCTTGCTGTCCTTTCCTCCTGTTCTTTTTTTACACAAACGTGATCATCTGCCATGTTTCAAGCAGCATAAGTGGCTATGCATTGATGTGGTGAAAAAAGCCGACAGTCATCTGTCTTGTGATTCTTAAAATTTAATTAAATTTGAGGATGTATGCAAGTTCACCTAGACGATTTCAAACAAAGTAAACACCCAGATTAGGGATGCTGATTCTGTGACTATACACGTCTTCTCTTTCTACAACTTAGGTCAGTTGGCCCCCATCTATAGACCTCTCTATGTCTCCTAACAGGAGAATTTAAACCTTTGGTTCTGGAACTCATGGTAGTATGTAATAGTCCAATCATTAAAGCAATGTCCTGGATGAGTACAGCTTAACTGCCTTCTTTGGACACTAGAACTTGGCAGCATTAGTCAAGTGAGGTATGGAGTCCAGCTGCTTATATAAAACAATTCACAAGGAAGTTCTTTAGCTTAAAGCTTTATAAAAACCACAGAAGGACTTAATTTTTAAAAACTACAAAAATTCATACTCTGAAATGAGAACTCTAAGCATCTAAATATTTGATACATAATGAAATTTTCCTCACTGAAGAGAGTCAGTGGAGCTTTTTGTTTAAGTGGTTGAGCTCTGAAGCCAAACAACCTAGGTTTGAATCTCAGTATCATCATTTACTAGTTGTATAAGGATCTCAGTTTCTTTATCTGTGATATGGAGCTAATAATGAGATAACTACCAAGTTACTTACTTCAGTATCTGGCACAGAGTAAAGAACTGGTGAGCTTTCTTAACCAGAAAAACAAAATAAACTATCTGCTTATTTATGAATATGATCCCATACATGAAGGATGTCATTTTCTTCATATTAGAACTTTTATTAGTGATTGCAGAAAGTCTCCAGGCTGTGTTTATTCACTTCCTCAAAGTTTACTTTAAAATGCAACTTTTCCCAGTTGATCTCTAAGAAGGTTTAGACTTTTCCAGAGTCTTCGGAAAATGCCAGCTGCCAGCCTGCTTGGCTAACTTCCCTGGGGAAAGCTTCTAAATATGTGCTTAGCCCTGTAATCATGTTGATCTGTTCTTTGCCTTCTTCAAACATCTTCCAGTTAATTCTTTGCAAGAAGAATCACTTCCTATTTGGGGCTCAGGTTGAAAATAGATTCTCTTATTGGACAAAAATAAGAAACTCTTAAGACATTTTTATTTTGGTAGCATCCATTAGATTCACTCAGGAACTTATTAAACTCAGTTGATGAGTTCCACCCCAAGGTTTCTGATCTAGTTGCCCTGGAGTGATAATTTGTGGATTTGCATTCATAATAGGTTCCCAGGTGATGCTGACATACTGGCTGAATAACTATTCTTGGAAAACTGCTCATTATTCAATATTATAAAACATTTGCATCCATATCTAACATTAACTTGAGGATGAATTGTTTCATTTAATAATTTCATGCTCAATATAATATAGGGAAAAGTTCCCATGTATTACACATCTAGGACCAGAATCTACTCATTCTTATCTTCTCCAACTTTATACAGAAATTGCTATTCCTGTCAAGGTTTCAGCTTCAAAAAATGTCTACTGTCAATGAGGAGTTCCAATGCCTGTCTGCCTACCTATCAGGATTTAAACTATTACCAACTCTTAGAATCCCTCCCCTACCCCATGTACTTGTTTTGGATTCTTTTTTCATAAATAAACATCTAAAGTAATAGTTTCTTAGTCTTAAGTTTGAACATTCTATAATAGATTGAAACTCATTTTCAACTTGTCCCACACATCTAGGAGCTTCTCAATCTCCCCAAGAGACTAGTTTAATTCCAGATTGAAATAAGTGATGAAAACTCTCCAGTTGTATGCTGATAAAAGCTTAACTATGGGTATTCCAGTATAAAATAAATGAAATTGTAGCATTCTATGCTGTAAACACTCACAATAATTGACTTCAAGCCACCAAACATAAAATCATCCAGTTCACACAATTCCTGACAATTTACTTCTTTGTTCTCACATGGCTATAACATATTGCTGGAACTTTCCTACTAAAAACCTTCCATAAAGCAAACTAGATTTGTACTTTTTAAGATTTAATGTGAATACAAATGACCTGGAAATCTTATTTAAATGCAGATTCTGATTTACTAGATCTTAATGGGGCCTAA